CCAGCCTGGCATTTCTCATGATGTACTCTGCATATAGGTTAAATAAGCAGGGTGACAGTATATAGCCTTGTCGTACACCTTTCCCTACCTATCTTGAACCAATCAGTTGTTCCATGACCGGTTCTAACTGTTGCTTCTTGGCCCACATACAGATTTTTCAGGAGACAGGTAAGGTGGTCTGGAACTCCCATCTCTTTGAGAATTTGCCACAGTTTGTTGTGATCCACTACTGAAAATTATTTGCTGGGAGAAGCCACAGCATTTACCCAGGTGGTTGGTGCTTGCGGTCTCCTCTATGCTATCCTGATCAGGGTGACCCTTTGATCCGATTCAGTGAGATCGTGTGACTGCCTGTAAATTCAAATTCAGGAAGTTCTTCGTATATCCTTGGAAGGAATGGAGTTCATCACGGACTATCGACTGCCAGCTTATCGCCTCGGCTCGGTTCATCAATTCTTTTCCTTTCCCCGACACATTTCCTTTTAAGCCCCTTCTTTCCTCACGTCATAAGCTCCCAACTATAGGTTGCGTCCCGCCCCCTCCCCCCACCTGTTGTAAGGTCACGCCAGGTAACCGGCTCCCGAGAGGAAAAGAGACGCGGGAAATCCTCCCGAGCGGATGGGGGCGCTTCTCGCCGCTGCTGAAGCGTCCGCGGCGCTCCTCTCCTTGTCGTTTCTGGAAGAAGTGTCGTGCAGGTTCCGCCTCGGCTCGTCATTCAGCCGCCCCGGGCCCGGCTCGAGTCCGCCGCTCCCCTCCCCCTCTTCTCTTCCGTTCGCCCGTTGGGTTGTGCGGGTGCGCGCGAGAGGGCGCGGGCTTCGCTCTCCCTTTCGTTTGCCTCCCTCTCACCACCGCCGCCGCTGCTCAAGCGGGACGGTCCCTGCCTCTCCTGTGCCGCCTTCCTCTTCGTTCTCGAGCGGGCCGGGGATCGGTTCCCCACCCCGCCCCCGGCGGAGGCCATGGCGGCGAGCGCCAAGCGGAAGCAGGAGGAGAAGCACCTGAAGCTGCTGAGGGAGATGAGCAGCCTCCCCCCCAACCGCAAGTGCTTTGACTGCGACCAGCGCGGCCCCACCTATACCGACATGACGGTGGGCAGTTTCGTTTGTACCTCCTGCTCCGGCATCCTGTGAGTTGAGGAGAAGAAAGGGCCGACCGCTTGGCGGGAGGAAACGGTCGAGCGTTTTAAGTAGGCAGCGGAAGAGTGGAGGTAGAAAGCGCGGTTAGGCTGGGGATGGGTCTTGCGGGGACCTCCTCTGTTGGCATGGAGGGCTCTGGGGCCTGGATGAAGAGTGAAAGAAAAGTGGAATTGGGGATTCTTTCCCCCTCCCCAAAATATTAAGGGGGAGGAGTAAGGAAGTATAAGGAGGAAGAAATGTACGGGGTTGAGGAGTTTGGACTATCACAGTTACGTAGTTCACGATAGGAATTTGGCTGATATTGCAGACAATTTGAAAGACTAGGCCAACTGGAGAGACCACCAGAAAACAAAAAGCTGATAAGGTGAAATTATAGAGGGGAAAAGTACGGAATTAGAGTTTGTGAAATAAACTAGCATGGACATGTTCCACAAGTGTACACATCACTGTTCCAAGTGAGATTTTGATTCTAGTGTATATAATAAAACCTATAGGTTTTTTTAAAAAAAATGCACTGTGGCAATGCAAAATAGAAGTATTTATGGAAGAAAACATGTAGGTTTGATGTGCTAGTTTTCTGATGGGGGGCAAAAGTCAATTATGATATTCTAAAAGTATATAAAATGGAAGCAGGGAAGCTTGTTGAATGCTTTTTCAAAATGTAATAACTTTAGTTCTTTTTTTAAATATCTATAACAGATAACAGATGTATTTTGAGGAAGTAAATAGGTAATACTTACTGAGAATATTAAAGGTTACTTTAAGGGCTTATAGCAGGAAACAGTTTAAAGATTATTGTTGATCTCTGAATTTGAGAGGTTTGTATATTTTATTGTTTTATCTACGTAATAACCAAACCATGCAGATACATTTGAAAGAATATGAATTAGTTTTCATAGTTTGTGAAGATTAGACAGCTATCTAGAATATGTAAGCTTAATTACTTTTACAAAATAAAATATTTATTCAGGAATGTCATGTTATAGTTGATAGTTTTAGTTTGATCATCTGTGACATTATTTACTAAAGTTACACCAATAGGCAGAGGAGCTGTGTTCTATGCCTAGATGAAGGTTTATTGCCTGGACTGGTAGAAATTGATAGTGTCTTTTTGACTTAGTATAAGAAAAAAGTTTATATCCAGGGAAAATGGAAGACTTGTGATTTCAAGTTCTGAATTGTTCAAAGTGAACAACATTATTTGACATTGAAAAACTAATCAATTTTGTGAAGTTGGTATTATGAAATAATGCAAATAATGATGGAATAATAAAAGATTATCTGTTAAATCAAAGCTGAACTT